GTATCATTATCCCTGTTTCACTGATGGGGAAACTGGCCCAAGTTCACCCTGCAGGCCAGTGGTGGAAACAAAAATAGAATTCAGGTTTCCTGAGTCCCAGTTTGGTGCTTTCTCCGCTAGCCCCCTCTGGCTATGTCTACACAGCAGCGTTATTTCAGAATAACTGATGTTATTTTGAAATAAAGTGCACGTCTACACTGCAAGCCATTATTTCGAAATAATGTTGAACTGGAGGACTTCTTACTCTGACTCCTGTAAACCTCATTTCACAAGAAGTAAGGGAAGTTGAAGGAAGAGTGTTCTTTCTTCGACTTCCTGCTGTGTAGACAGTGCCAAAAGCCGAATTAAGAATTGACATAGCTGAAGTTGTGTATCTTAATTCTACCCATGTCCTGCTGTGTAGACATGCCCTTTGTTTCTCTCTGCTGAAGAGTAAATGCTTAGTAGTTCCTCCTCCTCCCCTCACCTGACTTCAGTGTAGGTGTGTGTTTTGAGAGTGGCACTTACAGATGTGATTTCTTCTTAAAACAGAATACCTGAAAATCTGTTTCTTTGTTGTTTCCTGAGGCCAGGTCCCTTTATTACTCTATCATGCTGCTGTTTGAACCTATGCTCTGCTTCTATTTCCCTTCAGACTTAGTTTCCTGCCCCCAAAGACACATGCTTTTCCACCTGCATGAAATGGCCATTCAGCAGTAAACAAATAAGGCCAAGCTGGCATACGTTCCTCTTAGCTTCGGCTTTGTAAACAGCCAGGAAAGCATGTTATCATGTACTTAACTTAAAGGACATTGTGAAGTGCTGTCCTTACTCAAGACCTGGAAATACTGTGTAATCTGATCTGTTTCTGCTTTCGCTTTCCTCACTTCTCTTGGTGCTGCAGAATGACAGAGATGCCGATGAGGGTCCCAGTGCGCAAAGTAGATGGCGAGGGAAGGTGCCAAAGCAGTAGCTCTGCGGATGTGCAGACATTCCTGGTAGGGCTCCATACATCTGTTCCAGCGGAGCCTGGTAAAAACACAACCGCCACCTCGTCCTTGCCACCTCAGCTTTCCCAGCTCATTGAGGAGTCATTAGCAAGCCATGAGAAAAACAGGCAAAGGCTTAGCAAGGGAGGGGAACCGGAACCTGCCTTTGTTGACTCTCATCTAATTTTTGGAGGTAAATCGTCGAAGGACAGTGCTGGGCTATGGTGGAATACACACGGAATGGATGTGCATTTAACTTGTCTGCTGGAGTACTGCAGCTGTATTGGTACTGTGTTCCCATTACTGATGTGGGAATACTATTGATATTGTTGGAACAAATTTGGGGCTGCCTAGGATACTGGTGGTTGATGTGTTACTACCATGAACACCTCTGAATGTCCTGGCTTCAGTAGAGCTTGAGCTCTCCTAGGACTTTCAGCAGCAATTGCTACAGTGCCAAAGTGCTTACAGAGAGAAGCATAGGCCCATACTTTGGGATCCAACCATTTTGTGCCAAAGAATCCCGTGACACACGGATAAACAGTTCTGATTCTGCATTCCAACAAGTTTATGACCATGAGAACTTTGCCTGACACAAGAGTTGACTCTCCCTCATTGACATTGTTCATGGTTTCATCTTACTGATGTATTATTTTTAAATTCTTCTGATTTGGTAACATGCTCTCTGTTACCATTCATGGGTCTTATTTGGAGAAGTCCTTAGATTGGTGGACTAGTCATACTGCAGTGACCCACAAAGGTTATGTCTGCGCTCCAGTTGAGAGGTGCAGTTGCACTAGGTATAGATGGAAACACTAGCTTTGCTCAAAATAGCACTCGAGCTGCAGTGGTGTGGGTAGTAGCATAGGCTATTGCCCAAGTGCATACCCAGCGCTCTGGACAGGATTGTACTTGAAATGTAACATGTAAGATCTGCCTACATGTGCCGCAGTCGCACCTCCTGTCATGGGTAGCAATGTTTTCCAGCTATTTACTTTTGTCTGATTGTTGAATTGGTATCATGAACATCCCCATTACCCAGCATGTTAATGAGGGAGAGCTAAATTAGTGTCTCTGCAACACAGTTAATTTGTGGCTTGTCCAATAAAGTAAGAGATGCCATTTTCTGTCCTGTGGGAGTCCATGGTAAAGTGAGAATCACAAATGTAAGTTGATGGGAATTTGTGGTGCTGCAGATGATTTGTTGTCTGCTACATTATTTTTTTTTCTTATTGTAGAGTCCTCGTCATGCATCCCACAAAGTTCCAGAAGTTGCCCTGTATCTTCTCTGGCTAAGAATCTTTCTCTGCCTCAGTGTGGTGAGATTACAAGACCATGTAGTGATAGTCTGGTACAACTACATGGACACATAACTGAAAGGAAGAAACGTGTCACTGTCTTTATAACAAGCACTCCATCTTCTGAAGTGGACTTTAACCCTGGAATCTGCTCAAATCGTACCTCAAAATGGAGCATTGGTGGGGACAATTGTGCCAGTAAAACGGTCAAATTGAACTCTCTCCTGGATTTGCCTTCAGAACATGATAGTGATCCTAGAACAGAATCCTCACATAAAGAGCTTCCTCATGACCTGCTGCAGCCTGCAGAGGCTGTTTGTGATGCTGAAGTGGATCCTAACTTCAGCCGTATTGCTGAGTTTGTTACATTAGAAGCCAAAAGTCAAAGTAACGACCAAGTCACTGAAACTCCAGTTCTCAAAAAGGTCAGCACAGGTAAAAAGAAAAGAGATGCATTTAAAAGCTATCCTAAAATTAATTCAGATGTACATCGTAAAGAAGAGAGCCCCCCAAATGCTAAAATGGTAACCAAGGCTAAAGACTTGAGCAAGAGCAAATCAAAATCACACAGGCCTGCAGGGCAGACACCTGGGGATGCTTTAGAAGAGGTGGTGTTGCAGAAGGGTAGTGACTATGCTTTGCGACAGAGTGATAAAGCTAAAAATTGCATCAGAATGCACTTGTTGAATGTAGGGCAGTCAAAAAAGGTGGGAAAAAAGCACTTGTTGCCACAAGAAATAAATAGTGTGTCTTTTGCTGGGAGACTGAGGAGTATGGAGAGCCAGTTCCAAAGTCCCCACTCTGCCTCGTTAAGACAGAAAGCTCCATTAAATAGGTGTGCTCCACAAAGTTCACTTCACTTGGAAAAACAGCTCTGTAGCCTACCAGCTTTGCAGCAAGATTTGCTGGATGTGAACATGAAGTGTACAAAACAGAAAGCAAACAGGAATACAATTAGAATTAGCAAAGCAGATGACCGTAATGAGGAAAATGTGCAAAGCAGTGCCAGAATGCCAGAGGGTGAAGCTGAATGCCAGGCTAAAAAAGGGCAGAAGAGCAAGAGAAAAATGAACAAAGAGAGCAACCCTCTCAGAAGTGAAGCAGAGACTTCAGGTACATGTGGAGATGTACAAGGTGTACGTAAAAGGAATGATAAGGATTTGTCAAGCAATACTAAACCTAGCAGGAAAACATATATTGTGTCTCCCTATAAGATCAGAAGGAGCTTAATTTCTGTCCAACTAGATTTAAACGGGGATGAAATCGCCTGTTCTGAGCATGTTCCAGAGAGCAACATGAACAAGACCCAAAAGGCTCAGAAAACCTCAGGTGTTGAGAGCCATGAAAAACTGAGCACCTGCCCTAGAAAGAAGGTGTTGAACAGAGTCCACAGCAATACACATGCCAGTGCCTTAAAGGAAGGGGTTGATTCCAGATACAGATCAAAGAGAAAAACCTATTTGGTTGATCCATCAGAGACTCACCTTGAGGGCACAGAGAATTTTGCTTCTGAGACTAGTGGTATAACAGATTCTGCACTCAGGCAAGCTGGTCCGGTGAAACAGAATTTTATGCCTATTACCATTTTGAAAACTGATCCAGATTCCAACCTGGAGGCACTGATCAGTGAGCCAGTTGGGACTAATTCTATGAAGGGAAATCCAAGCCTTATTGATTTCTCCTCTGATGCCCATTTTGAAACTTTGCACTTCCACCACTCCAGCAAGAGGCTCCCACTGTTGGAGCCCCCGACTGGTGCAGACCACAGAATTGCCGAAAACCCCTCTGCTCTGACACACAGCTCTGTGAACTTAAAAGAAAGTGACAGCGAGCAAACACCAGGAGGCAGTCATGGGGGGAAGAAAGCAAAGACGAGTTCTAAAGACCCTTGCCAAAGAACAGCCTTGCCAGGAAGTGGTAAGTGATAGGGTAGAGGAAATGAGCATACTGACTATAGAAGGGAAAGGTGGAAGTGATTATATTGTAGTACAATAAATGCTTTGATTGTTACTATTGAAAACACCAAGCATTTTGGTTGCCCATCACCATTTGGATTGGATAAATGGACTGTAAGGTAGGCAGAAAGCAGGCTAGATTGTCCAGCTCAGCGGGTAGTGATCAACTGCTCGAGGTCTGGTTGGTATCAAGTGGAGTGCTCCAAGGGTTGGTACTGGGCTGGTTTTGTTCAACATTTTTATTAATGACCTTGATGAGGGGATGGATTGCACCCTCAGCAAGTTCTCAAATGATACCAAGCTCAGAGGAGAGGTAGACAGGTCTAGTGACCTAGATAAATTGGAGGATTGGGCCTGATTCAAAGCCCCTGGAAAGCTTCACAAGGAGTCAGTTGAGTAGGTTTTATAACAGATCATTCAACTTTGGAAGGCCTAACTACTCTTTGATTGGGCTTCAATTACTTGGGATTTTATTTGTTTTTGCAAGGATTTTGGGATGCTGTTTTGGTTGTGGATTTGTGTGTGGGGAAAGGTTGAGGGCTACTGCAGCTTGGATTTGGTCCCTTTGCCTCTAATGTGCCCCTTCAGCTATTCTGTCTTGGAAGATGTTGATCACTGGAGCAGCTTTCATGTGGAGAAGCAGAGGAACTAGCCCGAACAGTGCCAGTGTTGTCTTGGCAACGAGTACAATGGCACTAGCTGGGAGATGGGCTCTTGCATGTTTTAAAGCTGAGTGGGAGACTTAAGATCCTTGGTACTGCTGTTGCCTAAAGATGTTTTCACTGCAGAGCAGTGTTTCCCGTAAGCTGTGCCCTGGGGTGGCCACCCAGGAGAAATTCAGGTGTCGCCCAGTTGATGAGCAAAGCCCCCACAACTGGTAGCATGTGTTTCTGACATGCCTCAGTCACATCATAAAATGTATTCTGCACATAGAGGAATGGTGCTGCAGAATTTTTATCTAATTTTTAATTTGTGTTGCTGCTCTCAAGTTTAGTGAGAGAGGCCAAGCCATACAGTAGCATCTGTGCTCCACTGGGCTCTGTCCTGCTTGTGGTGCTCAGACATGTAGGGACACGTTCCACGGTTGGTGGCACCACAATAAACAGCTGCTCAAGGAATTCTATCCAAGTGAATTGTTTGAAAACTTGTCTGTCTCTTCTGGGCACAAGAGGAAGGATTGTGCCAAGAACCAGCAGCTTCTAAGGGGTGCTAGTTTGTGTCCGTGCTGCAGAAGTGTTTGTTCTAGCAGCTGATGAGTTGCCAGCCAACTCAAGTTAAAAGCACCAGCACACTCGAGCTCAAAGGTTTGCATGGAGGGGACTCAAGTGAGGGACATCGCTTGAGTTATTTTTTTCATTAAGAGTAAAACAAGAGATGGGATAGTTCAAAAGAATTCAGCATCGGCTTCCTGTTGAAGTCAGTCACAGTGGAGTTAGCCCAGTGCTGAGCACTTTTGAGACTCACCTTTAATTTGACTCAGATGGGCAGAGATGATTCTACACATAGACGTTTTATCCAGACCTCCACTTCATCCTTAAACACCTCTTGCTCTCCTTGCGATGCTTTCTACACAAAGCAAAGCCAGCTTTGTGAGGGAGAAGTTTAAACTAGGGATGGTAGCGTGTAGTTGTTTACACGATTAACCAATAAGCTTGGGCTTATTGGTTAATACAAACAACTACACGTGCCCCCTCTCCCCTTGCTTCCTCTGTATCCCCCCCCCCTTCCTTCCTCTGTATCAGAGGCAGCAGTGGGAAATAGGTGGGAGCTGGTGCTCACATGGAGTCAGCTTAACTCGCTCCCGCCTGCCTCCCCTATGTGTAAACATAATTGCTGAAAAATTCAGTGAGATTACATGTTTGCAAAAGTAAATGTTTGTTAACATCCCTAGTTTAAATGTTTTTCCAGACTGGGGGAAAATGCCCTAGCAACTAGGGATGTCAACGAGTAGACTACTACGCAATTAACTGATAAGCCTGGGCTTATCAGTTAATCTTATTGACTACACGCATGTCCCTTTGCTGCCTCTGTGTATGCTGGCTCTGTGGGCCTGCCGCCTCCTCCCCCTCCCCCCCAAAATCTGGTTGCTGCCTCCTACAGAGGCAACGAGGGGGGGGGGGGGGCAGTAGCCAGTGCTAAGGTGAGCCATATTTAAAGCTGGTTCCTTCCCCCCTCCACCAGCTCCACCTGATAGAGGCAGTAGCGTGGAGAGGGGTGGGGGGACAGCAGGGCGGGCTGCCACCTTGTGCTTCTGCCTCTGGCTATCGTCTGAGGCCTTTAAGGCAAACACTGCACTCAGAGAGATGAAATGCTGATACTTTAATGCAAGAGACATGGTAATAAAAACTGTAAGAACGTAATAATTTGTGTAGAAATACATACAAACTCAGAGCCAGATGCTGCAGAAGTGCTTACTTGATAAGGGATCCTACATTTCCATTAATTTTGGTTCATTATGAAATGATCACACTCTTCTCACTCAGAAGAGACACACTCCACTTTGAAAATTTTTTAGTAAATGCAGCAGTTACACCCAGGTAACCTATTTAGCACTGGAATTCTCCCAACTAGTTTGAATGCCATATGCATCTTTGATCACACTTCTTTAGTGCTTGGTAAGTTTGAGGCAGGAACTATCAATAGCTTTTAGTATGTACAATACAGTACTGCTGACTGGTCCATGTTCTCTACCATGATGAAAAGTTACAATAATAATCTGGCTTTTGAAAAATAATTGCGTTTTTGGACAGAAGGAGATGAACCACCTCAACTCCCAAACCATCTCCTATGTTTGAGGGTGAAGTAGGATACCCCTTCTCTCCCTTCCACCCCGTCCTCCCAAAGAGGGAATGATACAAGATGCAACTTTCAAAGAACTTTGACCATGTATTAATCATTCTTTTCTCTACTCACAGCCAATGTCTTGGTGGGTTTAAATGGGCTTTGTTGGTGAACAGGCGATATTTTGAATAAAACCTTTCAAATGTAACTGTCTTCACAGAGAGCAAAGCCCTGGAAGATCTGACCAATGCCAGCTTTCTGTCACCCATCACTTCAGAAACATCTTCAGCACGTCCAACCAGAAGGAGGCGGGACCCAGCTTGCTATGTAGAACCAAAACTCAATAGGTTGGCATTTCTAACCTTCCAGTGCCTCCCTTGCATTAAAATGGACTTTTCCTGTGTGTTGTCTGCCCCTATTGTCTTGCCCTCCCCAGCCATGTAGTCAGTCCTTCCTTCATGCAGATCCTTCCTAAAATAGCCTTTTGCCCTCTAACCTACAAGAAATGAGGGTGAGGAAAGCCCACAGAACAAGAATAAATGGCTTCATAAAATATGCTAGTCTCTGAGGCCCTAATAGGTTTACAGAGCCTTACACCAGTGTGAAATCCAACTGAAGTCAGTGGGAGCTTGTTGAGGGTCTATCAGTGTAATCCCGTTGCAGGATCTGGGCCTTCCTGAGCAGCTGTAAGTCCTTTATCTGTTTGTGGCATCCCCTGTTATTTTGAATTTAGATCACAATCCTGCATTAGCACAGATGCCTGTACTGAGTCCTGTTGAGTCCAAGACTTGAGGACAACCCTTTGCTAGGTTTATTACTTTATCACTTGCCATTATTTTTAATTGCTGAAATTTAAACTACAACCCTACATAAATCCATCCCTATAAGTAAGAAATCTCTAAACTGCAATATTAAGTAAGTATAGAGGGGTAGTAGAAATTCAGTTTCCTAGAGAAGCAAGGAAGGAACAGAAAGCAATGTTTGTACTTAACTGTTTTGAGACATCTATTTTTGTGTATGTATATAAAAGATATTACAAAGTACCATTGATAAAGTCAAGTTCTCCTAACAGGTGTGTGGCTTTTTCAGTAAGAGAAATGTTTGAGGAGTTCAGAACAGTGGAGATTTTGCTGAAGAAGCTCTAAAAATTCTGCATCAATCTTGCCTGCATAGAGGCATTTTCTCATTTTGAGGGTCTCTCTCTCTCACACATTGGCTGTCTTCAGGCCTTGTGTACGCTTGAAAGCACACTGCTTTAACAATACTGGTGCATGCATAGACATACTGCAGGAAGTGCAGTGCTTGAAATCTGGTGACCAATGCATGCCCCAGCACCAGGGAAGCAGACAGTCCCTTTAATGAAGTGCAGTAGGTATCTGAAACTATCCGAGTACTAACACCTAATTACTAAAACAACTGTTTACACTAAAGACTGGCAACCTTCATAGGTGGGAAGAAAGGACTGAAGGTGAGTGGAGTTGGCTGGGTTCTTCATACAGGCACTCTGGCTGTGTCTACACTGGGCCACTTATTCCAGAAAATCAGCCGCTTTTCCGGAATAAGCTGCGAGCTGTCTACACTGGCCCTTGAATTTCTGGAAAAGCAACGATGCTCTACTGTACAAAATCAGCCGCTATTCCGGAAAAACTATTCTGCTCCCGCTCGGGCATGAGTCCTTATTCCGGAACACTGTTCCAGAAAAGGGCCAGTGTAGACAGCCCAGTAGTCTTTTCCGGAAAAAAGCCCCGATTGCGAAAATGGCGATCGGGGCTCTTTTCTGGAAAAGCACGTCTACATTGGCCACAGATGCTTTTCCGGAAAAAGGGCTTTTCCGGAAGAGCAGCATGCCAATGTAGATGCTCCTTTTCCAGAAAAACTGAAAACGGAATAGTATTCCATTTTAAGCAGTTCAGGAAATTCATGCCAGTGTAGACACAGCCCTGGGGTATTGTATAGAGGGGTAGTAGAAATTCAGTTTCCTAGAGAAGCAAGGAAGGAACAGAAAGCAATGTTTGTACTTAACTGTTTTGAGACATCTATTTTTGTGTATGTATATAAAAGATATTACAAAGTACCATTGATAAAGTCAAGTTCTCCTAACAGGTGTGTGGCTTTTTCAGTAAGAGAAATGTTTGAAGAGTTCAGAACAGTGGAGATTTTACTGAAGAAGCTCTAAAAATTCTGCATCAATCTTGCCTGCATAGAGGCATTTTCTCATTTTGAGGGTATCTCTCTCTCACACATTGGCTGTCTTCAGGCCTTGTGTACGCTTGAAAGCCCACTGCTTTAACAATACTGGTGCATGCATAGTCATACTGCAGGAAGTGCAGTGCTTGAAATCTGGTGACCAATGCATGCCCCAGCACCAGGGAAGCAGACAGTCCCTTTAAAAAAGTGCAGTAGGTATCTGAAACTATCCGAGTACTAACACCTAACTACTAAAACAACTGTTTACGCTAAAGACTGGCAACCTTCATAGGTGGGAAGAAAGGACTGAAGGTGAGTGGAGTTGGCTGGGTTCTTCATACAGGCACTATGAGTAGGTAGCACCTGAGGATGCCGTGTGTGGACCTGAGAGATACCACTAAGGGAAGAAATTCCTGTAACTGTGCTTGGGATGTGCACACATCGCCATTGGAATGGAAAGGTTCAAGCACTCACAGGAGACCCTTCTTAGTGGGAACATATTTTATCAGTATAAAGAACCTTTATATTGGTAAGTCTGTTCCCATTTTGGAGGAGGAATAAGCTTGCACCAGTAAAAATCTAAGGTGACTTGTACAGCTGTAACTTACACTTCAACTTCTACTGGTTGAACCTCTCTAGTCCAGCAACATCCATGGTCCAGCATGCTTTTAATTAGCCGGATGTCCATTTATCACAAGTGTAGCCAAGTTTCCCACAGTCCCATAAAGTTTGTTTATAGCCACTAGTCCTGGCTCTTTGTTCTTTGCTGCTGTTTAGTTCTAATTTACCCCTGAATGTCTTCTTAGAGCCCAGGGAGCAGTGGAAGTGTTGGTAATGCTGCTAGATATTAACCACCTATGTTTTGGCAGATTCTCTGGTTTGGCACCGGTCAGGTCCCAGGGTGCTGAACTAGAGAGGTTCAACTTCTACACTAGTGTTCCAAAAAAAAAAATCATGCCTCATGTAGAAATAGCTATCCTAATACAATTTGCAAGTTTAGACCAATCCTAAGTTGACTGGTTGTTTAATTATTGGTATTACCATTGTTAGAAGTAATATTTAAACCTTTCTTTTCTGCAGCAAATTGAGGCGTGGTGACCCCTTTACAAACACAGAGTTCTTGCATTCTCCTGTCTACAAAACCAAAAGGAAAAAAGTGACAAAAGAAAATGAAAAATCCAAGAGGATCAAACAGGAAGAAAAATGTCTTCATGAATGAGTCACTGCAACATACGTACATTGTCCATTTTTTAAAAGAATTAGTAAACATTTGTATTTTTCTATAGCTAAAAATCATCCCTGAATCAATTTGTCTTGTACTTTTGCTGGGACATTTCAAACTAGCTGGAGAACATAGAGTTTGTATAATTTATTTTATTCACATTGAAATGCTAAATAAAAACCAATCACTTTACCTTCTAAAATTCGCACTGGTCTCATTTTTAGATTTGGGGTAAGATTAGACCAGGCACAGCAGCCAACTGCTTCAGAGCAGCGCCATACTGCTTTAAGCAGCTGATTGCTCTGTGTGTCTGCTCCCGGAAGAGGGGATGACTTTGTAGCTGCCCCACTGCCCAGCAAATTTGCTCACTTTCTATTGGCTGGAAACTGACCAATAGGAGCTGGGAGATTTTGTTGGGGGCAGGAGCAGCCCATGAAGCCACTTCCTCCACTAGAGCAGAGCCACGGGGAACAGCCAGACATTTTGAGCTGAAATTGTGGTGGGCAGTTAGTTTGCTTTGAAGTCCTGCAGGGCTGCTAGCTAGCACCTCCCAGCTAGAGTATGGCTCTGGTATCGTAACCCCTCTCTCTTTTCCTCCCTTAACTGTGCTTGTCCCAGGCCACTACCCCCTTCTGATCCAAGTCATCACCCAAACCTTTTGCAGCCTCCTCCCCCCCAGAAACAACTCCCTCCCAGACCCTGCAACTCCTTCCCCAGGCCAGAATCCTCTCCTGCATCCATATCCCCTCCTCGACCCTGCACCCCAATCCACTGCCCTAGATAACTCCTTTTTGGACTTTGCACCCTCTCCTGCACCCCAGTTCCCTACCCCAAGCTCCCTTCTGCACCCAACTTCCATCCCAGATCCTGCACTCCCTCCATAGAAAAGTAGCTTTTGACCACTTACCAAAATTTTGGAATGGCGCCACCCCCCTCCCACCCACTCCTATCAAAACTTATTGCCCATCCCTGGATTAAATAGAGCACTGGCACTTTTGTGCCAGCTAGACTACATCCTTACCTTAGGTGTGCAACTGGTATAAAAAGTAGGATTTAAGTGGTTGCAAGTGAAAACAACAAAGGAACTTGTTGCATGCAAATTCTTATCCATGTTTCTCAGATAAAAGAACTTTAAATCAGAGTTGATTTTTTTTTTAACTCAGAAGAAGCTTAGGCCCAAGTCAAAGTTCTTTGTCTCCTCTTAGGGTGGGCCAGGTGGTTTCAAAGGCCAGCTGAAGACAAAAGCTGATTGCTTCCCATTGTTCTAAGGCAGCAATAGGGAGGAGGGGCTGGAGGTGGCCTGGAGCTTGGCTAGATCTGGCCCCTGAAGGTTGGGGCTTCCTGCCAGCATTGAGGAGCCTGCACTGGTACTCCAGTCCCCCTGTCTACTCACTGTGGGGATGGAACACACAAAATCTACTAGCCTGGCTCTCCTAGGCTCCGGTGTGCAAAGGGAATGTAGGAAGTTTTTCTTTTTTCCTTCTCAGTTGGGGGGCCACCTTGGGTGAGGGTGTTTTTTTGTTGGTTTTTTGCTTCTCACTTGTGGTCCCTGACTGATTTTTTCTGTGAGTAATCAGCCCCTGACCCAAAAAAGTTCCTCACCCCTGCTATAAGGTGCTTCAAGACTCCTTGTTTTTCAAATACAGATTAGTATGGCTACCCTTTGAGGTCCAGTCTATATTAGACCTGGAAGGTAGACTTAACGC